TCTTACTTACTAGGTATATGACCTTGAACTAATTAATGTGAGTCCTCTGAGCCTTTCTCATGGGTTTTTTAAAAGGTTATTTAACCTTTTAAATGTCTCCTCACATGTGTTTTTTAAAAGGTTATTTAACAAATATTTTTAAGAGACTTTTATTCTCTAGGCACTTAAAATACACTTCTCTATAAGACAGACACTGTGTGTACTCTCATGGTTAATAATAGACTGGTGTATAAAGTCAGATGGGGCAAGGTATCTGAGGTAATTCACAATAATGGCTTATTAAAATTAGAATAAGAAATTCAGGGCCGGGTGCAGTGGCTCATGCCTGTAATCTCAGCACTTTGGGCGAGGCAGGTGGATCACTCCAGGTAAGGAGTTCAAGACCAGGTTGGCTAACATATCGAAATCCCGTCTCTACTAAAAATACAAAAATTAGCTGAGTGTGGTGGCACATGCCTGTGATCCCAACTACTTCGTTGGCTGAGGCAGGAGAATTGCTTGAACCCGGGAGGGGAAGGTTGCAGTGAGCTAAGATTGCGCCACTGCACTCCAGCCTGGCTGACAATGGGGAACCTTGTCTCCAAAATAAAAAAGTTCAGTTATGGTTTCATACTTTTTTTTTTTTTTGAGACTAGAATATCTGAACTTGCACAGATCTATGTGACTATGAGAGTGTAGTCTGAGGATTTAGAATACAATTATATGCCAGGCCTAATTAATGATTTTGGCCCTACTAGTTACCACCACCAGACATATTCTTTGTTAATTAAGAGGTTACTTTGATGCCTAACACTTAGCAGTCCTTTGTTACTATAGAAATAATGAATAATTATGAATTATGATATAATATAAATTAGAAATGATTATTTAATAATACATGCTTAATTCTTCATGTCTTCACTAATGTTAGGGTTGTTAGAAAACAATGAAATGTAGAATGTCTCTCTTCCATTTGTTCATAATATTATATATGATACTATTCAGCAGGGAACTTGTGTTTAAAACATAAACTTGTGTTCTTAAAGCCAGTGAATTGCTATTTCATTGAACATTTTGCATTTTAAAGTTTTACAAACAGCCTTATGTTTTTATACCTTATATATTGGGGGATGTCGGGCCCTTTTGGTTTGTGTTGGATAGAATCTAGAATAGATACCTTTTTCATACTGTAGTTTTGATCTAATGTAATTTGATTGTGCCTCAAAGATAATTAGCTGATAACCTTTAAAAGCATAACATTTTTGGGGGAGAGGAGGCAAGAGTTTTATTTTAAAATTTAGGGTGTTTAAAACTAAGTTTTGCTTTTTAAATTATCCATTCACATTTTTTTTTTGAGGAAATAGCAATAAATATGTTGTTCATTTTTTTTTTTTTTTGGTATAAACCATTTTTTTTGGTAAATATGTTTTTGGTGGCTATTCTAAAGGACAGCATTTCAGATCTAAAGGATAGGATAGGACAGGATAGGTCTAAGGATATGGCATGTACTCATGCATCACTACAAGATGACAATATGTGTTTCATTTGGGCTTACTTATTTTTGAGACTGGGTTATGAGACTACTTCTTGTATTTTTGGTACAGATGGGGTTTTGACGTTCCCCAGGCTGGTCTAGAACTCCTGGAATCAAGCCATCCACCTGCCTTGGCCCCCCCAAACCACGTGCATGTTGCCATGTAATACCAAACTCTTCTGTTAAAAGGAGGCCTATTTTGTTTTTTTTAAACACAGTGGAGAACAAAGAAGTCACATGAGTTGAACCCTTGCCTCCATCTCATTTTACCTTACAGCATCCTACCTTTGGCACCTGGGTGGTATTAATTCTTGTTATGGGCATTTCCTCTCATTAATGTCTTACATCTACTGGGCCTCCAGTTTCAGTTTGCCCTAGATGTGAAGTCATGAAGTTGGGTCTGGTTGCCACATATTATGCAAACAGGAGCTTAAGGTATACTGCTTTTCCCTCTCCCACAACAATGGCCTGGTCCTGTCGGGTTTTCTCAGTCCTCCTGAAGTCTGGGATTGCTTCTGTTAGATTCTTTAGAATCTAACTGTGCACTTACTTCCCCTTGACCCTTAAGACCATTTGTTAGATGTGGCATTCTGATTCTTATTTCCTTCGTTGCTTCCACTTTTTCAGTAAGGCAAAATAAGATAACACTAGAATCCTCTGTGTTCTTGTGGTCGGATTACTAAAAAGCAATTTATGTAAGCCATATTGGGGCTTTTAAAAATAGGTACTTATATAGCATTTTCAGCAACATTTTATAAGAAGACAAAGTTTAATTCTACTATCAGTCCCATGAGGATAGTTACCATTGTTACTCCCCCTTTTTCAGATGGGGGAACTGAGGCATGAAGAAATCAAATAAGTTGCTCGAGATTTCATAGCTTGTCATTGTTGAAGCTGGAGTTTGAATCCAGTCTTTTAAGCACTGTTTGCATCATGGGACTTACAGTTTCCTAGCAAATTGATATGGTGTTATCTTTTCCTCATCTTCCATTGCATAATAATACCAAATAAACTTTAAAGGTATAATCTACCTTTTTATGTTATCTTTTATACCATTACTGAGATTGTAATTGTTGGGTTTAGGTTATTTAGAAAAATTTAGTATAGGTGGGTTTCCTGGTCGATTTAATCCTGAAGAAATCTTAAGATGCATAGTAGCATGTTTCTGCACCTCCTAAAGGGTAGTTTGTTAGGGCTGCTGTAACAGCCCAATGAGGTTTTGTCCACTCAGTCGTTCTGCATCTGTGGCTCTGTTCTTAGAGTCATTCCTTTATTTTTTCCTGTCTCTGTTCCTTTTGGTTCAGGCTGGCAGCATTTTTGCTGGTATAAACATCTTAAAATCCTTGTCAGTCTTCTATGCATTTCGTGAACATCCAAGCATCAAGCGAGACGGTCTCACACAGATCTCCCTTGGATAACCACATCTCTTTTCCTGGCTTCTGCTGACATGGTTGGTTGGATCCATGAGTCACATGCCTAATCTGTTCAGCAAGTTTTTCCAGCAATACCATCCTCCAGTCTCTGAGCACATTCCTCTTTGACCATGGCTTATCTGCTGTTTCTGTTTAGGCTTCATGGCATCATATCAGCAAACAAGATGAATATTAATCAGGTCAAAGGTTTTTTTTCTGAGACATATTCCTCAGAAATAGTGTTCTGTACCTCTCCAGCTTATCTGCCCTAGGGATGTTACAGTCGTAATCATGATCAGGCCTCAATTAGCTCTTCAAAGTGGGGAGCATCACTCTTGTTCACTGTTTAGTTTTTCTTTGTGAAGCAACATTAGTAACACGTTAAGAAAGTTTCTGGCTATAAGTCCAAGATTTTTTTCCCCCTTTAGTCAAAAGATTACATCTTAAATTAAAATATCTTTCAATTTCTCAGGATCCTCATTTTCTATATTCCAATGGCAAATAATTGTAGCAAGGTAACTTAGAACCATCACTATACATAACCAATAATAGAATGCAGTGGTGTAGATAAATAGTATTAGGTTCAGAGGAACAAGCGATACAGTTTATATTCAGAGCTGAGGTTGAGGTTTTGCTGGATAGCAGACTAGTATGCAGGAAAGTGGTGTGGTAGGAGGAAAATATGGAAGTAACGAAGCATATGGGGCATTTGGGCTCCCATGACTTGAAAAGAATATTCATGTTGACTTACTGCGGGAGTGAAACCTGAAAATCTCTCTGGTAGAGTAAAATCTTGGAGCCCTTAATGCCAGGCTCATAAGTTTAGATCTTATTCTAAAGGAAAAGCAGGGTGATTACACCTTATTGAACATAGGAATGAAAGATTGTAAGATATTTGGGGGAGATGAAAGTAACAGCTATAATGATGGATTGATGTTAGAAGAGACTACAGGCAGGGACATTAGCCTTGTTATGCTAGGATTCAAGGCCTGGCAGCATAGCTACAAAGATGCTGGCAGAAGAAATTGAGACAGGAGACACTGTACATGGAGACAGGCTGAACTGTTAGGGTTGAAGGAGTAGTGAGTATCTAGGAAATGTGGACTATGAATGTAGGAGAATAGAACTGTGGTATCATAGTGACAGAGTATGGTCTGAGGTTGAAGACATTAATTTTAGGTATTTTGAATGTAATGGCTGTTAGGATCAGAACTCTGTGGAGGGAGTTTGGGTTTAGATATTATTAAGACTTTGGCGTTAATTTGTATGGAGGTGATAATTGTATCACCAAGATGTCGAAAGTCTTATTGTTTCAGAACTGTTCAGTCAGTCTGTTACGAGGTATGTTAGAGATTGTCAACGTTTATCAGTTAAATCCTTGGGATTATTTATGCACCACCATTTGAATGATAACTTCCCTGTTGCATAGTGTTTGCCTCGACCTAATAAAACTTTGTGTGAAGTCTTGATAGAAAACTTGCTTAATAAGATGTTACTGATAACTGTAAGAATTAAAGGCATAGATTTGAAGTAATTTTTCTTTGAACTTCTCATCTTTACCCTATGTCTTCATTTTAGTGGATATGTTTGTTGCTGTTGTTGATGGTGTTGGATGTTACATGTGATGTGATGTAGAAAAGGCTATTGATTTGCTTCTAATTTTGGGTTACCTTATGGGGGTTTCTTAATAACCATGAATATAACAAAATATATCTTAGAGTAAATTTTTCTCAACTCATTTGTTAAAGTATTCTAATCACACATTAATTGGGTTGTTTTATTTTTGACATCCCAGGCTTTCAGCTTTACAGACCTTTCAGTGCTCAGTTCATTGACACATAATTGTGATGGGCGGATAATCTTTCTGTTGCAGGCATGCTTCTAAATGAGCACTCTTTTCTTTTAGTTTTTCTTGGTATATAGTTTCCTGTGAGGTCCACAAATCGTTTTCCCATCTTATTTTCCTGCTTATAAGTGTGAATGTATAGATTCTCATCTCTGTTCCAAAGAAATAGGGTTTATCATCCACTGGATGTTTGATAATGTAACACATTATCCTCTATTATGTGTTTCAGTGCACTTGCAGAAAAGACATGGTGAAAATTTCAATGGATATCTTTGTGAGGAAATTTCAGCCAGACAGATATCAGCTTTGGAAACAAGGAAAGGACATATACACCATTGATCACACGAAGCCTACTCCAGCATCCACCCCTGAAGTAAAAGCATGGCTGCAGAGGAGGAGGAAAGTAAGAAAAGCATCCCGGAGGTAATGACCCCTCACCCTACTGACCCCCCTTGCCTATAGTGTTTTCTCAATTAAAATGGGTCATTGGATGTGGTGTTCTCAAAGGCAATTTGCTTGCTTTTTCTATTTATTAATCATAACTTAATACCTTCCTGAAAATGTGAGACAAATTATATTTTATTCTTAGATGTGTAATAAATATAATGTAGGAAGAGATGTATACTTATTTGGTTTGAGAATATTCCTGAAGTTGCTCTACATGGCAAATAGAACAATATAGAACTTATTAGACCACTTACACTAATGTCTTTTATGGTTGTATTGTTCCTTTCTGTGTATTTTTATGTTTTAATCAGTAACTTAGTTTTCCACTTTTTCATTTTGTCACCATTTTTCTTTTTGACTTTAGTGGTTATCTTCTTCATTTGTCCAACATCTGAGGTACTAGTCTCATCTGGATGCGTATATTTTACCACATTTTATGCACTTGGTTTTATTCTTTTATAAGACGTAAAACACTGCAATATGGCGTTTCTGTAACATGCCTATCCTTGCGAACTTTATTCTCCATTCCATCTTTGTGGCCAGGGCCATTTCAAAAGCTTTTAGTTCTGCTGTGGGCATCTTGTTGTTTTAAAACCTATTGAATAGGATGTGTGTTATATTGCTCAGGTCCTTAGGCTACCTTTTAAGGCTCTTATGTTTTCCAATTTAATGTTAAATTTTCCTCTTCAATATTACTCATTGTTTTTCTTTCAGATTATAAAAGTAATATTTGTGCATTGGAGGAAATTTGTAAAATAAGGAAAAGAATAATGAAGGAATCCCATATCACCCATAACCTCACTATCCAGAGATAACCAGTGTTAACATTTTGTATATATCCTTTACCTATATATTTATTATATATTTTATAGTATATATCTTTCCAAAATTGGGGCCATGCTCTATTAACAATCTGATGATCAGTTTTGAGTGTTTTTTAATGTAACTGACTGATTTGCTGCAACATAATTTTTAATGCTTGCATGTATCTAACTAATCCCCTGTAGCATGTTTCCACTTTTTTTGATATTAACTCAATAACACGGTAATTTTACATCTTTGCCCAGACTTAATGATGCTTATTTTCTCTCTGTTCTTTTTCCTGATACTTATTTTCTGCTAATTTAGAGTTGTAGTGAGTGCAGGAACCTTAGGGACATGGAGTAACACTTCAGCGTTGTGTAACAGACAGACCTGAGGTGCAGAACTAACTCAGGTGTTGATATTTAGCCCTGTCGTTTACTGCAATCATTTTCAAAGTGTTTGTTTTCACATTAATTGTCGTAGATCAAGACTGTTTTAAAATTAGGTGGTAAAATAGAATAAAAACTATTATAGTGCTTCCTCTGTGGTAAGGGCAAATACTCACTCATGACATGTGTAAGTATGTGCATGTGTTTATGTAGTGTCACTCTCTGAAATGTATAACTCATTGTGGGTTACATTCAAGAAAACTGGAGAAATACTGATTTGAACAGTCAGTGTCTTTGATAAATGCATTAATTCACAGCACGAAAGAAACCAGCATTGGAAGGAGGCAGTATCCAATCTTGAGTTCAGAATGCACACCAGGAGAACATCTTGAGAATTGTTCTTTAATGGATGGAAAACACAATACTTTCATTAGGTGTATGACTTGGTTTCCTAGTTACTAACCACAGAGGGCCTTTTGGGTTGATAGAGAACATAGATTTATGGCATCTGAACAGATAGAAATGCCTGTCTGTAGGTTTATATAATCAATGGAACTTGCTCATCTACTTAGAAAGTCTGACTATGGGCTTGTTTAATATGCTCAGCCTTGTGGGTGAGTTGATATTTAGAGATTATTGATCTCCCTTTGGAAATACCCCATTTAGGGAATTCTGATGAAGGGAGTGATTCACTGATGTTTCAGGCACATGCAGCCTTCTTTTTTTCACATGTACTTCACTGTTTATAATGTTGAGATTTTCCCACATCAGCCAGTGCATGGATTTGCAACAGAAGTGATGACGGTGATGTTACTACTGTTACTGCCATCATGACGGTGATGTTACTACTGTTACTGCCATCAGCTGCAGTGAAAGCTAATTTATATGGGTTATTGCTGGCCACCCTCTTCTCTGCCTTCCCTGACTTCCTGCAGTGCTTAGTCCTTTGGCAGTTTCTTGTGTGTTTGTAATACATATGGGGGTGTTTTGGACGCTGTTGATTTGAGTTTATTTGTAATTGTTTCTAATTGGTAGGAATGTTTATTTCATATGTAAAAAGCATATATGCCAAAGCCATCAAGTGACTTGCTGGAAAATAGAGAGGAAGAAGATAAAAATTGTGTTCACTCTGAAAATAGTTTGTTGATCTACAGTGTTAAATACATAAAATTAGGCTGTATGCGGTGGCTTATGCCTGTTATCTCAGCACTTTGGGATGCCAGTGAGGGAGGATCACTTCAGGCCAGGAGTTCAAGACCAGCCTGGGCAATATAGTGAGACAATGTCTTTAGGAAGTGTGTGTGTGCGCGTGCGCACACACACACACTCACACTCTCTCTCTCTCTCTCTCTCTCCAGTTAGCCGTGTTCTGTTTTTAAATAATTTCTCTATTGATGAATTGGCATTTAATTTGAACTATTTTAATACATACCTGACAATTATACAAAACTCAATGAAAAGTAGTCAGTAGTTCACCTACTTAGATTTTAGCGTTAGCCTTACAGGATATCTTGATTTTTAAATTTATTTTCTTAATTATCTAGATATTTTATTTATTAATTTTATTTCCTCTCTCATTTCAATAGTTTTTTACCTTATTTTTATTTTCAGACTTTTAAAATGTTGTTACATTTTTGCAGTGGCCCTTTTTCAAAATAATGTTTAATAATTATTTACAGTTGTGTGAATTTTAAAATTTGTTATAAAACTTGTTCTTAAGATTTTGATTTCAAAGTTAATCTTTCAGTTGTGAACACTGACATGGCGTAGTGATTAACAATGTCAGTTCTTTCCTTCTTTAAGCAAGTGACAATGACATTTTTATTGGGATGTGTTTTTCATATCCATTGCAAGCATTCTGCTCTGACTGCTGCTTCTCTTCTTGACAGCTTCCCGTGTGCTAGGTCTACCTCTAAAAGGCCTAAGGCTGAGGAGGAAGAGGAAGTGTCAGCTGAAGTCAGTGGGGCAGAGGTCCCTAACGCTGACTCAGGCACAGATGACCTCAAGGTCAGTGAAAAGCCTGAAGAATCAGCGAAGCTGAGGAACACAGAAGTACCTTCAGAAGAAGAGGACTCTGCTAGCAGCATGCAGGTGGATCAGAATTTACCTGATCATATGAAACTCTCAGGTGAGAAGGTGGTTAATTATGTTTCACATATAATAGTAGGTGGTGGATGATCAGATGCCTTAAATTGATGTTCATTATGACACGCATCTGACCAGTCCACATAGCTTAATCTATAATCTACTCAAAGTTGTAAGGGAACTCAACTAAGAGGCCCAGGGAATGTTATAAAAGTCAGGAGTCTCACTGCTATATGTAACAGAATTGTGAGACAAACAGCCAGCAGTGCCTGTTTGGTTTAATAAAAAAGTAGATTCTAAAATGCGACTTTTTTTTTTAAGGGCGACTCAATTTACAATGTATGTTTTTGGAAGGCTTCTCTTGAATTCACATGAGCAGAGAAAATCAATTACAGATAATTCTTTGTAGATTCTTAGCTTTTGACTTAATTTTAAAAAGAAAATAAAGATCGAGGTTTTAAGAACAACAACAATGGCATAAATACTTTCCTGACTTCTCTTCTTTACTAAAACCATTGTCTAAAAATCTCAGCTGCTTTGCCTTCTTCCCCTTTGGTAGCATATTCTTCTGAAACTGCTTTAATGATTTGCCTCTTTCATATATGTTGGGGTTCTTGCCCTCTTCATAATTGAGCTAATTCCTGTGTTCCTCTCATACATACTTCTTATGCGGTAAATCCTTCCTCAGGAGACACCCCGCCCTCTCTGCCAGAATACGACTCCTGGTGCCGTAGCTCTTGCCTGGAAGACTGCAGCAGTTGCTCACCCCTGCTGGTCAGTTCTCCAGGTGGCCATCATGGTGATCCTTTAAAAGAAAAAAAGCTTAGGTCTTGTCACTACCTTCTTCTTAGTATTATTCTACCTACAATAAAAGAAAGTCCTCACATTGTCCTAAACTGGTCCTCTGCTGCTTCTCCAGCCCCATTGCCTTTGCTCTTGAAATAGATGCGTGGATAGAGTTTACACCACCGAACTTTGAAAAAAATGAGATCATGTTTTAGTGGAGAGCTAGGCAATAAACTCATGATTACAATCCAGTGTGGTAACTAGCATTATAGAGATCGCCTAGGATGTTGCTGGTTTATCAAGGAAGAACTTCAACCACTTGAGAGCTGGACAGGCAAGGTTTCTTGGCAGAGGTGATATTTGAATCGAGTTGTGATGAATGGATACAAGATAGCAAGGAAGAGAAGGTAAGGAAGGAAATTACAACAAATGCAGAGAAGAGAGTCATATAATATATATGTATATGGATATTTCATTATAGTCCCATATCGTGCCTTGTCATGCCCTTTTTTTTTTTGTTTTTGTTTTTTGTTTCTTTTTATTGAAAATAGTCTTTCTCTGTAACCTGGGCTGGAGTGCAGTGGTACAATCTCAGCTCACTGCAACCTCTGCCTCTCTGGTTCAAGCAATTTTCTTGCCTCAGCCTCCCGAGTAGCTGGGACTACAGGTGTGTGCCACCATGCTCAACTAATTTTTATATTTTTAGTAGAGCTGGGGTTTAGCCATGTTGGCCAGGCTGGTGTTCTACTCCTGGCCTCAAGTGATCTACCCGCCTTGGCCTCCCAAAGTGATAGGATTACACACATGGGCCACTGCACCCAGCCCCTCATCATGCTTTTCATTACACTAGGTTTAATTAGCCACTTGATGAATTGCTGGATGGTTTTGGCTAAGAGCCCTCAATTTCATTAGTTCTGTCATTACATGGTTCTTTGCACACTGGTCTCCAGGGTTTGAGCGTTGTCATAATACTTAAGTAGAAGACCTGGCTTGTTCAGTATTAGAGCTAGTATGTGATGGGTACAAATGAGGTTCCTTTTGTGTGTGTATGTGTGTGTAAGATATAGAATCAGCTGGGAATAGTTTACCAATCCTACTTAGTAATAATACAATGTAAGATTTATTAACCATCTTCTTTTTTATCCTCAGGAAGCAGCTGCTTAAGTATATCGGTAACAGAAGATATAAAAACTGAGGATGACAACACTTATGCATATAGAAGTGTACCTTCTAAACCCAATGAGGCTGATGATTCCATTCCATTATCTAGTGGCTATGAGAAGCCCAAGAAATCAGACTCACCCAAGCTGTCATGGCCAAAATCACCTGAGTCATGCTCATCAGTGGCAGAGAGTAATGGTGTGTTAACAGAGGGAGAAGAGAGCGATGTGGAGAGTCATGGGAATGGCCTTGAACCTGGGGAAATCCCAGCGGTCCCCAGTGGAGAGAGAAATGGCTTCAAAGTTCCCAGTGTATGTGGCAATATCCATTTTTACCATATTCATTATATGGTGAGAACACATTTTGAAAACAACATGCTGTGCACTGAAATCCTCCTTTAGGGCACAAAGAAATAACATTTTACATTTATGGGTCTAAATCATATTCATTCAGTGACAGGGAGGCGAGCCTTCTGTTAGCTGTGGCTCACAGAGTGGTAATTCAGCGCATGGAGCTTATGGCCACATGTTGAAGCTTGATTTTTCTGTTTGTTAAAAAATTAAACTATTTTGAGGTGATTGTAGATTCGTATGCGGTGTGGGAAATGATGAACAGTGATTCTTTGTACCCTTAACTCAGTTTCTGCCAATACTACCATCTTAGAAAACTACAAAGTCACAATCATATCGACATTGATTAGTAAAGATACAGAATTGTTCTATCACCCGCATTATTAACTAGTCTGGGAAGAATTTACGTGATGCGCACTGACTACCTCTTGCTAATTTTAATAACGCTGGGTCCCAGCCACCCCACAGCTTCTGTTTCAGCATTAGGATTCACCTGGTCATGCTTTCTTCTTACTCTTTGCTGATGGAACCTGAATCCCAGGACCAGGGTGACCTTTCTTGTCCTGCCCCCTCCTCCAAAGAGGCCCTTTGCCTCTGAGAAAGGACCCCTGTAGATTACTTAGCTTCCCATTGTGACTTTTTGGAAAATTGTACAATATTGTCCTTGTACAGTATTAATATTCCATATTCAGCAGAAACTGTCCATGTAGCCTTAAGAGTGGATCAGGGGAGGTATGACTATCTGTAGCGATTGTCAGAATTCAGTACTTTTTTGGATGTATCCGCCCTGATTAGGGAATTCAAGTGGATAAGGAAGGAGTAATTGAGCTGACTAGTTGCACTGGCTTCAGAACAGACACTGCTCCTGTTCGTTTCAACTCACAGCAGATCTTTGTGTCCCTGAGTAGAACAAGGGAGGTCATATAAGGACAGCAGCTTTGAATACCCTGCTTTTCAACAGTCTTAAAATGTTATTTAAAATATAGTTTTCTGGTTTGACCCAATAGTGTTTATCTTTTTATGTAGAATTGTATATCTCCTTGAATTATAAACACTTAAAAATATGAAATATGGAAAAGAATATGGATTGCTTTCTTTGAAAAGGTGCCTAAGAGTAGTTTGAAAATAGCATTTGCATATTAGTAAGCAAAATTTACAACTTAAACCAGATGAAAAGGCACAATGCCGTAAACCATAAAACAAAGAAAGACAGAAGTAGGAAGAACACTAAACCTCAGGAACAAAAGTCAAACAGGGAAAACACGATGACACCCTAAAACCAAAAAAAAAAAAAAAGAAAAATGAACGCCGTGAGCCTATGGACCTAGCTGAGAGGGAGGCCAACGGTGCAGGACAACTTCACAACAGAAATTCAAAGCAGCAAAAAACTGTAATCCCAACAAGCTCATCGAGCCAGAAGGACAGTATAAAACCAGGTTCCATAAAAAAAAAAAGGAAAAAAAAAATAAACAAAAGAATGTAAGAAATGCATGAAAGCCAGCGCAACTGAAATTCTAAAACAGCTAAAGGAGACAAAAGCCTGCGTAAAAAAAACTTAGTGACATACCTAGAACAAAAACAGAACCAAAACTAGAGTCACAGAGGCACACAACACAAACAAAAGGAAGATCGATGGACTACGATTTAGAAGAAAATGAATCAAATCCATGAACAAAAAAAAACAACAGAAAAAAAAACAATGAGACAGAAAGCCAAAAAGCTAAACATACCAGGAACAAAAGATACACAACAGCCTGGACCAACACAAAACAAACAGAAAAACCCAAGATCCAACACAACAACAGTGAATTATCAAGTAAGCAGTAACAAAAGAAAAAATAATAACAAGAACACTGGAAATATACAGAAAGCAGCCAGCAGTAGACCATCCACAAAAAAAGAATGACCTTTGAACAGCGAACCAATCAACGGTCAAACCAGCCAACCATAATGAGAACCATCAGCTGCCGAGAAAACAACAAAAATAGACCAAACGAACACAACACACTAGCGCCCCAAAATACTTCTCCCCCAGACCAACATATGGATCCACTCAAACAGCCCCGAAAACAACACCACAACAGAAAGGCACCAAAAAATCACCCTACAAAATTCACCCAACCCCACCACCTCAGACTCCTGAGCACCTGAAATTACAGCAACACACAACCACCCACAACTAACTGATAAAAGAAATAGAAGAAACGAGGATCCAGCACCTTAACCAGCACGAACCTAAACTCCTGAACACCAGAAACACCAGAAAAAGCATCCCAAAATAACGCCAGCAAAGACAACAGCCACCGCGCCCGACGAAGATGGCTTCAGTGTTAAAAAAAATATGAGCAAAAGCATGTGTAAGAAGCAGAAGCCAAACAACAAAACAAAAAGCGCGACAAAGCTTCTCAACATTAAAAGGAAGAAAAAAAAAATCGTTTACAGTCAAAATCAAAGATTAAGCAAAACAAGATAAATTCAAACGCTCAAATAATACAAAAAAAGACAGCAGCTAAAAAGACTGCCATAGCCAAGAAACAGAGCTAAAAAAGATGAATCCAACAAGGAATCTAGAAGGATACAAAAGAATACCTAAATGCAAAAGGAAAAAAGAAAACGTAAATCCCAGGACAAAAAAAAAAAAATATAAAATAAAAGGGCCAGGCCCGGCGCGGCAACCCAAGAATCCAAGCACAGCACGAGGCGAAGCCGAGGGGAGCACAACACCAGGACAACAAAACCAGACCGGCCAACACAACAAAACCAAACCCCGACTAAAAAAAAAAAAAAAAAAATCAGCTGGGCATGGTGGCGCATGCCTGTAATCCCAGCTACTGAGGAGGCTGAGGCAGGAGAATTGCCTGAACCCAGGAGGCGGAGGTTGCGGTGAGCCGAGATTGCGCCATTGCACTCCAGCCTGGGTACCATGAGTGAAACTCCGTCTCAAAAAAAAAAATAAATAAAAAAATAAAATTTAAGTGGTTTCAACATGGCATTAATGTATCATTAAAAAAAGAGAATACTTCTGGTTTCCTGTTGGATTGTTTATGTTTGTGATACAGAAGTAGTGATTAATTTTTGAATGGAAAGAAGTATACAGCCTCAACTTTGCAGGATTGTCTTCTCTGTAAGGATAGAAAGTAAAATTCCTTGCTAAATGTTAACGTGGGAACATCTTAGAGGTGACCAAGCCATAGTCCTATATTTTTATGAGAATACAATCTTAAATTTACTTGTTTATTTATTTTTGGAGACAGGATATGATCATGGCCCATTGCTGCCTTGACCTCCTGGGCCCAAGTGATCCCCCCACCTTAGCCTCCTGAGGAGCTGGGACCACAGGCGTATGCCACCATACGCCTGTCAATTTTTTTTTTTTTTTTAATTATTAACATGGAGTCTCCCTGTGTTTCACAGGCCAGCCTCAAGCTCCTGGGCTCAATGGATCCTTCCACTTTGGCCTCCCAAAATGCTGAGATTACAGGCATGAGCCAATGTGCCTGGTCTGTAATCCTAAATTTAGAATAGCTGTAAGAACTTTAGAAAACTTGCTAACTGCTGAGCTTATTGCAGGTTTAATAAGCCTACCCTGCCCTTCAGCTTATATTTTAATACCACGTGGAAGAAGAGTTAATTGACCTCAGAGTAAAATTAGCAATAGAATTGATTCCTATTTCTTTTGACCTGAAGTTTAAATTTCTTAAAGGACTAATTCCCCAAGAAGTAAACAACCACAAGATTTCTTCAACATTAAGTTATAAATCATTGTGAACTGTAGGGTTTTTTTTTTTTTTTAAGTTTGTTTTTGGTAATGGTATTTCTCCTCCATTTGTGTACTGTAACTAGATAACAGAGGGAGAGAACAAAACCTCTAAGAGTTGGCGCCATCCACTTAGTATGCCTCCAGCAAGATCCCCGATGACTCTTGTGAAGCAGCAGGCGCCAAGTGATGAAGGTGAGCTGGTGACCCTTTTCAGGATTCTTTTTTTTTGTGTGTGTGTGTGTGTGTAGATGTTTGTTGTAACAAACTATTGTAAAAAAATTGCTGAATAGAAAAAAATTTTAACAAGTGGCAAATACATACTATTAGGAAATCATCATAATTAGCAATTTACAGGTAAAAGGAATTTGGAACTTAGGGGTAAAGACTTACTTCATATAAGCTAGCCTTCTTACTGGTAAAAGTCTTCCTGTTTTATGTCATGGGATAAAATCAGTCTGTCTCGACGTAATGTTTTAGGTTTATAGAAGTAGCTGAGACTCATTTCTCTAAAGATGTTAGATTTTAGAATTAACATGCTGTGGGTTTGTTTACATTGTCTTTTAACTTGAATCGTTTGCATTAATTTAACTACCTTCAGTCAAAATCACGTGCCATATCCTTTTCCATATCCTTTTGTATCTGGTGTGGGGTGAAACATCTTTTTTCCTTCACTAGATTGCTGTGATGCAGTGGATATAATGCAGTTTCATTTATAATCATTTACCATTCCGGGATATGAGTTTATCTTTTTCTTTAACCTGGCTGTCCTTTTTTAAAGACAGGGTTTTGCTCCGTCATTCATGCTGGAGTGCGGTAGAGGGTGGTCATAGCTCACTGCAGCCTCAACTGCCCAGGCCCAAGTGATCCTCCTACTTCAGCCTCCCAAGTAGCTGGGACCAAAGGCATGCACCATCACGCTTGGTTAATTTTTTTTAAAAAGTTTTTTTGTAGACACAGGTCTTGCTATTGCCCTGACGGGTCTTAAACTCCCGGGCTCAGGCAGTTCTCCCGCCCCAGCCCCGCAAAGTGCTGAGATAATAAGCATAAGCCACTATATGCCTGGTTGCCTTTTTTTAATCTTTCTTTTTAAAAAAAGAAATTTCTGTTGCCTCAAATTAAAAATCAAATCACTGACTGGTAAATGTCTTGTAAATGTCTCTTAGCATCATGAAGGCCTTATTTTTTTCTCTGCCTAGAGGATTAACTCAGGCAGGTTTTCTGTTGAGAATCCTACTCTACAGTATTCTCCAGTTTTACTCCTGGAAATTAATAACTAAGGTCATGTGGCTGTGAGGATACTGTTAAGTGAGTAATAAGAAGCTCAAGTTTCTTGTTTAAAGAAATTTATCAGAGTAGATAGATATCTTTCGTAGATTTTTTCCCCCTTTCACTGTTTTCACTTACATTCCATGTTTAGTTAAAAAACAAGATCATGGCTGGGCATAGTGCCTCACGCTTGTAATCCCAGCTACTTGGGAAGCAGAGGTGGGAGGATTGCTTGACTGCAGGAGTTTGAGACCAGCCTGCGCAACTTGGGGAAATCGTGTGTCATAAAAAAGTAAAAACATCATGAATGTAGGGATTAGGTAAGGATTGTAGTAGTTTCTATAAAACCAATTTGGGGTTGAATTCTGACTCATGTAATAGAAGTAATGAAACATATTTGCATTTATTTCCATATATCATAATGCTTAGTTCTTTTTTTGCTACTTTATTATACCCAGTACAAATAATTTTCTCTTTAGTGTTGAGACAGTTATATGACAATTCCATGTAAAGTAATTAATACTTAATGTGTGATACTCATGATTGTAATTACCCTTCCTCACAGTAGACTCTCTTCAGTATAACTTTTCTAAAGTGAATAGGCTATGCTAAGGCTCTACCAACACATAGAGAAGACTGCTTTCTCCTGTGTCCTTATTTGCCTAGGAAGTTTATTTTGATGTGGGCCATAAATTGGCCCAGAGTTTTCTTTTGGAAAGCAGTTCTGATTTCAGTTTGTATAGCTTGCAAAATTTATAAATGGATTGGTTTGATGAAGTCGTCTCAAGGGTTTGAGGTTAAATATTTTGTAGAAATGATGATTGTAGCTTTTCAACAATCTTTCTTTCCATTCTAATATGTTAAGGACTTCTAGTGACCTCTGGGGATTTTTCAGAATTAATTAGAAAAATCAGAGAAGTTTTGTGATGGCTTAAGGTTTTTACAAGCTTCCAAACTGACAATGGAGAATATTCCGTGGCCCGAAGCAAATTATTTACATCATTGGGAACTTGAATGTTACTTTAGCCATTTGCCTCTGTGTCTAAGTTGCTTGCAAAGTTGAAAGTGAATAAACATTATCATTGTTAGATTGTGATGTGCAGTGAGTTTTTTGCTCACTGGGAGCATGCAATTCCAAATCCAACTCCTTTCGGGGATTTTCTGCCCTATTCTCCTTTTGCATTCCTCATATATGGGAGCGTAACTATAATACAGCATCGGGTAATTGCATCTTTAAACAACAATCAGTGTCTTCTATTGGTGAATGAGCATTTCTCTGTAGAAACTGGGAAGTGTCTCCCTAACAGAAAGGCTGCAAAGGGGAAAGTGACTTGGTCCAGGACGTCTGGGAGCTGCCATGCCACTGGGGGAAATGAGTCACTTGTATGTTGCTCTTTTCTTTAGGTCAGTGCGGTGGCTCTCTGGTACCGAAATAACCTGAAACACCATAGATCATTTTGACTGGTGGCACATCCTGTAACTACAGGATCAGGAAGTACTTCCTGACTCTTAGCCTGTCATTTTCTGGGAAAAGATTTTTCATGTTTAACAGCAAAACAAGAGAGTCCATGGTGATGGAGAAGATAGGGCTATATGATAAAAGAATGATGATTAGAATGTATCTTTGCGTAAAAATTAGCATCTAACTTATTCTTTTTGGTGAAAAATCTTAAATATATACTACATATTTATCTTTTACAATTTAAAAGAAAATGCTAAACTGCCTCTGTTTTTTTCTTTTAGCTGAAATGTTTTTCAGTTGCAATTTTTTCTGTGGTTAGGCAGCTAGACTGAAACTTCTATTAAAATTCTGTTTATTTTCCTGCTGTTTAAAAATTAAATGTTGTATTGAAACGTAGACTGATAAGCAAAGCTGTTTGGGTTGTTTTATGCTTGAAGCACCCAGCATATGTATGTATTCTTCTGTTGCCATTTGTTGATATTATTGGCTTATTCCTGCTCTAGAGTTCACTGTCCATAGGGAAGGAGGATGTGAATGAAGTGCATGGGTGACCTATACATGCTCTGATGCACCCCTGCACTTAGGGGAGAGGGCAACACTCTCTCTGGCCCTGGAACGTACCAGAAATTATGAGGTGAACGCAGTTAAGGGCGGCCAGCTTAGAAATCTGTGGCAGTATTTCTTTCTTTGTTTTTGGTTGGTGAGGATGCCTGCTCTAAAGCTCTCATGTTTCCTGGAATTGTAAACTGCTTCAGTACAGGTTAAATGCTCAATTTCTTTGTGTGGCTTTGAGGCCAATTGTCATTCAATGCTACCTTCATTTCCCTCAACTTCCTACATGAGTCTCCCTTTCCATTTATACCATCAGTCCCCTACCTTTTTAGCACCAGGCACTGGTTTTGTAGAAGACAATTTTTCCATGGATGGTGTGGGAGGATCGGGCTGCAGATGGTTTTGGGATGAAGCTGTTCCACCTTAGATCATCAGGCATTGAATTATCATCAGGAGTGTGCAACCTAGATCCCTTACATGTGTGGTTCACAATAGGGTTTGTGCACCTATGAGAATCTAATGCCACTACTGAACTGGCAGGAAGTGGAGCTTAGGCTTCTGCTCAGCTCCTGCTGTGTGGCCTGGTTACTAACAGGCCATGGATGGTACTGGTCTATTGCTTGGGGGTTGGGAACCCCTGATTTAGGCAACTTCTTCCCTGCCTTCACCCTGGTGCTTTTGCTTACATGCATTTGCCCAGGCTGTTAAATTATCTGTGGTACCTTTTTTCCTCTTGGAACATTTCAAACTCTTCTCACCACTCACCTCTCGTCTTCCACCTCTGCCGCCTGTAGATCCATATGTGCTTGGTTCTCTTGCACCACTGATCACCTTATGCTGTGGTTTGCTATTTGTCCATGTGTTTGTCTCCCCACTCTCATTCCTCTCCTTCGCTTCTTATATCATGTCCTTGGTAGTGAACATTTCACTGCAATCATGGTAGTGTAAATCACCAAGCATTCAAAAGCTGGAATGTGCCGGTTAAGGCAGTCACTAGTCCTTGAAATCAGCCATTAAAAGTTAGTTGAATACCTCAGTGTGTTACATACTGTCATATTAAAAGAAAAATGTAATTCCTTGTCCAGGAAATAGTCTCCCTGTATATATGTATAGAAAAACATGTTGTTTTAATTAGCTGTAGAAGTGTGATAAATTATATATTTAATATATCAGCTCTTTCAGTTTTGTATCTTGACAGAATTGAAAATGTCTTTACCACCGTGCCAACTTCTAGAATTACCTCAAAGTTAAAATGCAGCTGACCCATTGTAGATGCGGCTGGTGCCTTGGAGTTTGAGGGCTTTTGGAGCTGTGACAGCACGTTGGGTCAGTAAGTGACTCTTTCTTAAAGACTAGCTTATTTAGGCGCTGGTGCTTGTTTAGGCTATGGTGGTCCTGAGAATGATCTTTGTTTTCCACCCACAGCAAAGGAATACAAAGGAATGATGCATATACTATTGTCTTCAGCACATTAATTAGAGAATGGATTTTTTCCTAGGATTTTTTTTTTCTTGATTGCTGAGAAAGGAGTGTCGTGTGAGGAAGAAAAGAAGAAAGATCAAGACTAAGTCAGTTCAGGAGAAGTCACTAGTGAACTTAAATTCCTTAATCTTTGCAGTTTGTATTTCTGTTGCTTTATAAAACCATTCTTTGAAACATAGATGTGTGTATATACACCTGTATGGACACACACGCGCACACACACACACACACACACACACACACACGCACGTGATGTTTCCACACAGAGATTAGTTGCCTTGGAGTTGAAAGCCTAAGTTGAATAAGTTAAATGTCTAATAAAAGAGAATTGTTCAAAGGAAGCATGGTCATGGTGTAGCAATTCACTGAAACATTATGTAGCTATATAGAATGCTTTCAAAGTATTATATATAGCACTCTGGGGATAATG